TGTTGTTCTTATAAACAGAAGAAACCTCAGCGGAACCCATTAAAGTCACATCTTCCAACATTTACATAACTGTGTCACACTTTAATACACCCAAAACTAAGCTGCCGTGAGAAATCAATGATAGAGACACAATTATAACATCTGAAGCAATAGAAGAAAGTTTGGTTTAAAATAATGACATAAAACAACAACCTATGTCAAAATTAAAAGCATATATAGGTACATTTCCTCCTAAAATGTAAACGTCTTACAAGAAAACATATTATGTCAGCCTGAATTGCTGGAGGAATGATCGTGTTACATAACAACATACGTTGTTCTCAGGGTATGAAGGAGAATATCACATTCAGATGTTTTCCTGTTCACTGGAGCTAAAAGACTTTCATTGAGTTTACTTATGAATTTACTGTTTATCATAAATTTTCATTTTTGAAAACTTATTTCTTAAAAAAAGTAAAACCTGAGAAAACAGTGTGATCCAAACTGAAACCAACAATAAAAACAAGTGAAGTTAAATTAAATTCAGGACCCAAATAAATCTGGTATAAAAGAAGTTCATCAACGGACATGCTTTTCCCAAAAACGCAGCAGGTCCAGATGGCGTTCCTGCAGGAGCCAAGATATCTGATGTAAATATCTTTTACCAAACAGGCTGCAGTGGCTGTTTGAGAGTTGGCAGAGATGGAGGCAGAAAACCGAGCCCTTCTCAGGAACATAAACAAGTTTGATTCCTGATCTGGCTCCCACACTGAAGCCATCGATCAGTCATCACTGAGCCAGATCTGTTAGGTTAATGGCCCAACTGCAGTGTTTCTGATTCAGGCTTTATAAAAGCCTGTTTGCATTCAAATACAATCATTAGGAAGCTAACACTGATAGCTTAGAACAACTTCTGATGATAATAATTCATGATTAATAGTGATAATTTCTATCTCAAACCTCAGCAAATGTACTGTAAAACCCCTTTATTGTCCCACTATGGAGAAATTCACTCTCTGCATTTGACCCATCCCCTTGGGGAGCAGTAGGAACCGAGAGTGGAGGCTGTGGGGATTGAACCTGCTACTTGCAACCTTCTCAGGACACAAGCACACTGCTCTAAGCACTAGGCCAACACTCCCCACTAAAGCAGCTGAATCTCTCTAATCTAATCTTAAATTGGTTCCAAAGAAAACAAAATTACATGGTGATATTTGATCATAATCCTCTGTTGTATGTTTAACTTGATAAATGGAAAAATAACACAAAGAGATTTTTTAGAAAGGACTATAAATAGAAAAACCTGAGAGCATCTGGTAGCATCTGATACTGGTTTGCGGCCAACTCAGAGCTTCTTGTCAAAGACGGCAACTGAGGAAGAATCATGTGAAGGCTTCAGGCAGCAGCAGCAGCTTTTATTAAGACCCTACTGTGTGAAAAACATCCAACACTTAGTCCAAAAATAACTGTCTTTGTTAAAAATATCTCAGAGAGCTCCAAACAACCAGCTCAGAGTAAAAATTTTAATCAAACCCGAGTAGCTAAATTAAAATCACCTAAAATCACCTGAGTAAAATTATGCTTTTATGAATGAATGTCAAACATCTCAACTGAAAATAACAAAACTGGAAAATATATATAATGCAATTAAAGCCTGAGTGTTTTGTATATAGAACTAATTAACTGTTAATAATGGTATTTGTATAATGAAGAGACAATAAGGTTATGTTTGGAGGACAGTAGAACCCGACATAAAGAACAGCTCGTTGTTCCGCTCTTTGATGGGTAAAATAAAAGCATGCCAGTTTTAACACAGCTGCATTGTTCAACCGAGCTACAAACAGCCTCTAAACTGATCCAACACCTTTTAGAAATCCCAAACAATAAACTGTAATGAATAAATTAGAATTGATTCAGATAAACTAGACTAAGTGTTTTATCAGCAGCCAGCCCAACAACCGGGAGGATATGAGTGAAAAGTCTGATTAGTGTAGAACAGAATGAGGTAAAAAGTGAAAGGTAGTGACGGATAGGATGACAAATATCCATAATCGGATAACCAAATGGTAGCCTGGGAGAGTCGCTGAATTTAGGGATGAAGTCAAGTGAACTCTGTCAGTCAGATAAATCATTTTAGAAATGACCAGATTATCTCACACAAGCCACATGTTCCATTATATGTATTTCTATCTACTGTCCGTAGACTTATTACAGCCCTGTTTGCATTCTAATTTAGAAAGCTTTGTAAAAAAGAACAAAAAGATGCCCATTTGCAGTGACACTTATTCAGCAATTCTGCCAACCAACAGGGATGTCCGCTACAAAAATGATCCAGATATGCGATGTCATAGGTTCCTACCGAATATTTTCATCACCCAAACTATTTAAAGTCGTAACAGCGGCTGATAAAGGGTTTAAAAGGAAATCTGTTTGGACTTTCATAATATAAAATAGACAACAACTATCAGTTATTTTAGCATATGATTAATCTAGTGATTTTTTTTTAAACGATCTAAAAATATATACTCTAACTGAGCTAAAGACTATAAAATAAACAATAAATATGTGTTTAAAGCAAAAAAAAAAAGCAACATAAATTGGACAGTTCAAATGCATTGCAAAAAAAAAAAAAACTGAGATCAATGCTCAGAAATGTGGTTCATATCCACAAAGAAGGGTTTAACCAGCGCATTCAGCTCGGCAAAGAACTCATGCCCTTCCTCAACACTGAAGTCCTCAGACATTTTTCTTTCGTTGTTTCTTTCTTTGCACAGGTAAACAGCACATTTCTTCTTCTACGCTTGCATTATTGGCAGAGCAGACGCTGAATGCGCACTTTCATCTGGTTTGGTCTGCCGGCTTCCGTAGCGTCGTGAGCGCGCCGGCGCGCGCTTTCAGGAAATCCTATACACTACTGTTTATGCTCTAAAAACATTCTAAATGACTTCGTTTCGAGTAAATTCTGGATGCTACCCACTCAGGACACTTGGAATACATTGGACGAGCAGTATGGAGGAATATTGAAACGTTTTTTGTGGACCTTTCTGTCTCGGTCACCATAAACCTCCATTATTTGAATGTCAGCAGACAGCAAGAAGCCTCCCAGATCTCCAGATGCATTTGAGATATCAAAAAAGTACTCCAGGGTGTTGTTCAGCATGGGGGTGAGTAGAAAATGAAGGCTAATCATGTTTTGGGTGTACTGTTCCTTTAATGAGTTGGTGTAGATGGCGATGGCTGAAGGCCTTCCTGATACCGTCTGCCTTACAGTGAATTTGAAGGTTTTAGCAAAATTTCGGGAACAATATTCTACTAGATATGTAGACCTAACCCAACAGTCTATTTCTTATTATTAGAATTTAATGGCTTAAAATGTTTTAGGAGTATATTTCTAATAGTTAATTGTTTTTGCATTTCTTGTGATCACTGTGTTTCTCTTTACATTCAATACCAGCGTTACCATAGAAGCCAAGTCCTACTGACCATTTCATGCTACAACACCAGTTTACTATGCTTACACGGTTTCGCCACATGTAATAAGGTGTGAAGATCTTTAAAAACTCATCCAGTTAAATTATCTGTGATGAAATAGAAAAACAGCAAAAACATGGATGATTCTTCTGAAAATGCAAGCTTTGCCTCCACAGTTTGTGCTCCTCTCCGGTAATGTGAGTACTTTGTTGTCCAAACTTAGCCCTACTTCCAAGACAAAACAAATGTGTTTACTTTGTTTTACATATTCAAAACCAGGAAGCCTTCTTTTAAAGGCTCCAGGTCTTCTGAACTGCAGAGACTTTATATGACTATTGAATAGTTTTAATTATGCTTTAGCGGAGTCTCTGGTTGTGCATTCTTAACAGTATCTTATACAGTTTTCCCTCATGATTTAAGGACATTTTTATACGGCCAAACCAACCCCTTATTTTTCACCCTCTAACCTAATTACATACTACCAGTTCAGGTCATTTTATCCACTTATTTCTCATTTTCCTCACCAAAAAACATTTTTAAAAACTGTGTAAAAGATCTTTAGTGGTCAAGTATGCCTTGATGCTAACATCTTTGAATTTTGATAAAATGAGCAGGTAGCAGGCTTTATAAAGCTTTAGTTGAGTCTGACACATGTTCTCAAAGTCAAAAAAGAATAAATTAAAATCCCTCTTTACCTCCAGGACATTTTCATTATCAATAACACATTTTTTTCAGTTTCAAGTAACAGAAAACACTCTGCACAGTCTTTAATTTATTCTGTGCAACCAAAAAAGGAGATTGCAGACCTTAACCTCACAATTTATAAGAACTGCACTATTAAAAAAAGAAACTATACAGAAATAAGCTCTGTAAATCTTGGCTATTGCAACAGAGGCAGGAATAAAGGTTTATATGTCACAAATGTTATGCAAAGAGTATTAATCCTCAACATTATTAGATACACCAACAATAAAGATCAGCAGTTTTTCATCCCTTAAAGATTTACAGTTTTTTTTTTTTTATGTGCATTCTTAAAAACTCTTGTCAGGGGTTAGTTTATCATTTAGCTATCAAAGACATCATGGTTTGATTCAATAAAAATAAGATCTCGGAGCTGTTTTTGTTTGCTAAAGGAAGAAATACCGTTTGACTCTGGTCTATTTGTCCTTGTGGAGCTCTAATCCTTTGCTAATCCCCTCCAGCTAAGAGAGAACCCTTTTCAATGTTACACCTCGCCATTCATAAATGTGCCATTTTTCCATAGCGGGAGCTAAGCAGCCGTTTCTACTTATTGCACAGATTTCCATCCAGTTTCTAACCCACGTAGAGCGGTTCGTGACGCTCACCAGAGCTGTTAACATACGAAACTTTAAAACGTCCATGAAACACAACCGTTTGAATACATTTCTTTTAAAAACTCTAAATACTCAGTGTATAATAAAACGAACACATTTACTGTTTTAGAAGCGCTGTTTCATTAAGGCTTCGCTAGTTTCTGCCGTTAGCTAACGTTGAGCTAGCTAGTAAGGTCCGAGCTGAAAAAGCCTCACCTTGAGTAAACTGAACACCGTGTATCTCGCTGTAAGGTTAACTGGACCATAGAGGCACCCGGTTTAACGTCCTGGACGGGAGTTAACAGGTCAGAGACACGGTTCCGTTATCCCGGTAGGAAGGTAATGACAGACCGCTACTTGCTGCGCTCGCAGGGTCGCTCCTCCTTCCAGGAAACACAGGATGTGCCATGATGCGTTCAAGGCCGAATCCGCGTGTCAGAAAAATGATGGTCGTTGAAATCAAATACTTCATTTGGATACTTTAAAAATAAATAAGTTTTACCTACTTATGCCAAGTTAAAGAATTATTTTTTTTAAATTAGGAATAATAATTTTTGATAATTTAAATATCTAATTTTGAACATAGGCTAATATGAACCAAGCTTGGCTAAAGTTAGGGTACAAGTTGTTGTTTTTTTCTGCTGAGTCATAAAGTTATTTTCCCCCCAAAATTCTAAATGTTGATTTGGACCCTGCTTTAAACTCACTGATTCCCAAAGTCTTGATCATTACAGAGGATGATAATCATATCTGTTGAGCAAAGGGGGAAGCTTTGGATGTAACACAAAAATAAAATACTTTATTATTGTATTATTAGGTGTTTATTCGCCTTCAGGGGGACATAATTTCCTTTTTCCATTAGCAATTAGTTACTTTATTGCTGGTATTTTTTAAAATAATTTTTGGACATTAACTTTTGCTCTGAAAAGGTATGGCAAACAGTATATATTTGCAAACCACGGAAAAAGTCCACAAGCAATTAGTCCCATTAAGGTGTAATTTTATTTCTATTTTTATTAACTTTTTACGGAGGAGGATTAGGGCCACTGAAAAAATAAAAAAAATGTAACCGATTTTTACATTTTATTTTAGTTTGATATGATTAAAGTCACAATTTTGACTTTTTTTCTCAGAATTCTGACAGCTAAAAAACATATTGGCATCAAGCAGTAGCCATGTCTGTCTTAGAGACTAAATCTATTGTTTTAATCACCTTCTGCCCTTACATTATGAAATAGCATCATCGGGGACCACTCAGGGACGTAAAAAGTCGCCTAATTCCTACATTTTCCAATAATGTGTTACTGGCCCTCCCAAACAACTAACACCTTGTCGGTGAAGCAAGGTGCTCCCACATCTCTTCTTTCATGGTGCCCATCTACATTAAGATCCGATATTCTGAGATTAAAGTCAGAATCCTAAAGAAAAAAGTCAGAATTCTGAGATTAAAGTGATATTTCTGAGGGAAAAAGTGATCATTCTGAGGGAAAAAAAAAGAATTGAGATTAAAGTGAGCACTCTGAGATAAAAGTCAGAATTCTGAGTGAAAAAAAGTCAGAATTTTGAGATTAAAGTGATAATTTTGAGATTAAAGTGATACTTCTGAGATTAAAGTGATACTTCTGAGATTAAAGTGATAATTCTGAGATTAAAGTGATAATTCTGAGAAAAAAAAGAACTGAGATTAAAGTGAGAATTTTGAGATTGAAGTGATAATTCTGAGATTAAAGTGATAATTCTGAGAAAAAAAGTCAGAATTTTGAGATTAAAGTGATAATTCTGAGATTAAAGTGATAATTCTGAGAAAAAAATTATTCGGAGGAAAAAAAGAATTGAGATTAAAGTGAGAATTTTGAGAAAAAAGAGAACTCTAAAATTAAAGTGAGAACTCTGAGATTAAAGTGAGAACTCTGAGGGAAAAAAAGTCAGAATTCTGAGGGGAAAAAAAGTCAGAATTATGAGATTGAAGTCAGAATTTTTCCCCATACTAAACTGAAATATTAAAAAAAATAATTTTTTTTCCGTGGCCCTTATCCTCTTCCGTACCTTTTAATGTAAAACTAAAATAAAAAGGCAAACCCCCCCCCACACTGACAAATTTATTCCTGTATGACCATTTAGGTTTCGTGTTACTCTCAGAGAAGATGCAGTCTATCTGTACCGCTTCACCCCTTCATATGTGCGTGATCTTAGATCTGCGGGCCAGATGGTTTTCTCTGTCCCAAAAACTATTTTTATAAATCCAGAGGACTAAACTTTTGCATTTCTGGATCCGAAGCTGTGGAATAAATTGCCACCTGTGGCAGCTAAAACGGGTCTTTAAAAAAAGGCTTTAACAGAGAGTGAGTTATATTATCCATGTTACAAAGTTCCCATTTTCTTTTCTCCGCTGGTTTTATTATACAGGGAATTATGTATATACATGGTTTGAATTGTTGTGTAGCCCTTTGGTGCGCTTCTGTTTGCTTTAGACATAAATCGATATAGTAGAAATTTGTATTCATTTTACCAGACCTGATATTTGGCTCTTTATAACATTAAAATTGTTCTTACAATTTGATTAAAGAGATAAATAAAAAAAAGAATATAATCTTGTTAGAAAAAATAAGCTTAAAAAGGTTAATAGCTTTCGAAAACAAATCTCAGTCAAGAAACATTCTTACTTCTACAACAGCTTCACTTCAATACAGAAATAGCTTGGAGGAAAACAAAATCTTTATTTTCCATATTTTAGGTTCTTTAACAACAGTTCACTGTCAGACAACCAAATGACTAAGAAAAGCCGTTTTTTAAGCAGTTACAGTACAAGAAACGTCAAGTTACAGCAAACACCCATAAACGCAAGGAATGGTTAGAGACCACATGTACTCTTCCATTCCCACTGATATGAGTTTAAGGAATATTCCAGCAGGAAAAAAGTATTTTCCAACAACTATCATTACTGACATTATTGATCTGAGTAGAACCGGTAAAACTGGAACTTAAACGAATTAGAGCGACAGTGTTTCCCTTGTTAACATCCTACCTGGTCCCTTTATGCAAAACTTTTTCTAGCCCAAACAAGTGTACATCTCATAAGCATAAAAAAATAATTTGAATGCCCTCATAATTTCCTTTAAAACAGTCCTAACCTGGTTCACCAAATGGCTCAGGGAAACGGAAATCTAAGGATTTTTGTAGGCAAAAAAAAAAAACATTTCTGAAACTTAAACTTGAGTAGCACTAAAACATTGAAGCAGGACCTAAGAACTGAACTTGTAACATGGTTATTCTGTCATTTCTTCAAAACACTTACAGTTTTTCAGGATAGACATGGAAATATTGCATTGAAGGTTTTCAGACTTATCAGCTGTGCCACAGATAAACAGAAGATCGTTATATTAACCAAGTACGGTGGCCAGCAGGACTCAATGACACAAATCTCCAAAGGTTTTTTTATGGAAAAAACAAAAAACATTTTCGAAGGTGAAATGTGAGAATTAGCAGTGAGACATGAAAGCAGCATCTATAAACTTAACCAAAGTTGTAATGTATAACATGTTTCTACTGTTAACTCTTTAATTAGAGAAATCTTCACAGATTTATTGGGGAAATAAATGGAAATATTGCATTGCAGGTTTTCAGATTTTTGACCAGTTGTGCAGCAAGTAACCATAGGAAGGATTTATCTGCCCAGTACGGTGGCCAGCAAGGCCATTCTGATGTACATGCCGTTCTCAGCCTGACGGAAATATGCAGCTCTGGGGTCTGAATCCACCTCTGGACTGATGAAATAAAGGAAAAAGATGGTTACTTATGAGAGTTGATTAAATATTTAGCTGAACAAATGAAAAAAGTGGAAAAATACCTTATTTCATTGACCCTGGGCAGAGGATGCATCACCACCATTTTCTTTTTAGCAACAGTCATGATGTGAGGAGTGAGGATGAACTGACCAAAACACTGACAAAACAACAGAGTGAATTAGACATCTTTATACCTCCTCCTGATCAGAACATTAAAATCTACATCAAACTTACAACTTTGTACTCCTCCTCAGATCCAAACCTCTCCTTCTGGATCCTGGTCATGTACAGGACGTCTGTCTCGGGCAGAGCCTCCTCGATGCTGTCAAACTCCTCCTGTTACCAAAATGAATCAGTTTAGTTTGTTGCCAACAGTTTCTGCCTTCCAGGTTCAGCTGTGTTTGATTTCCTCACCTGCTTGATGCCCTTCGAAGCCACGTAGCTGATGATCTCTGCAGGCATGTGGAGATTTTTAGGCGCCACGTAGCGCAGAGTGATGCGGTACTGAGTCAGCAGCTTGGCCAGAGAGTGAACGGTGCGGCCATGTTTCAGGTCTCCGACCATCGTGATCTAAAAGGAAACCGGAATCAGTATCCAGTACAGGGTTCCTACAGCACAAGGCAAGTTAAATTCAAGACTTAAGACTTTTTAATGCCACTTGAAATAAAAATTCAAGACCAAATTTACAAGAAACACAAGAAAAACCTGCTTGCGACAACTTAACCCAAAGGTTTATTTTAACATAAACCACTGCACTAATGTTTCAAATGTTGAAAAGCTTCCCATACAGGAAGAAATCTTAAAACACACAAATGACAGATATATTTTAACAATTATTTAACTGAATTCACAAACTTTGTTTTAGCAGGGAACAAAACAAATCAGTTTTAAAGCCACAACATAACCAGTGCTAAGTCTTTTTTGCAGCTATTTTTCTTTGTATGGTTTTCTTAGTATGTTTGATTTGGTGATAAGTGGAGGCGTTGCAGAGACAAGGGTGGAACTAAACTGAGAAATACCGGCTGTTTCTCGGTAACTCGATTTTGAAGTTTTGTGTTTCGCGTTTCGCATGTGTGACTTTTTGCACAAAATCCACTGAGCCTCATGTATGTTCCCTGGTTTTAGCCATGGAAAAAACTCTTGGCTGGATCCAATTTTCGTTACATTTACACTTGCTCATATTTTCCAGACAAAAAGTTAATGGTGCATCTCCCGAATGTCCCGCTTTCATTGGTTCCGCTATCGGGACAGAACCAATAATGGCGAGCCGTTTTTTTTTTTATTTATAAAAAAAAAAAATGTTTTAAATTTTTATGTTTTATTTAGATTACAAAAATAAATTGTAATAAAAATAATCCTATTCATGATGTTTTAAAAAATAAGACCTACGAAAGACTAATTTAAGACATTTTAATATCAATTAAGGCCTTAGTTTTATTTTGAAGAATTCAATGCCTTTTAAGACTTTTTAAGGACCAGCGGGAACCCTGCAATAGGGCAGGGGTCTGCAACCTGCGGCTCCAGAGCCACATGCAGCTAAAATGTATATAAAGAGAAAAATAATGTACAGTAGAATCCGCTTATAGTGGTCACGGATATAGTAATTAACCGCTTAGTGTTC